CATTTCATTATAGTAAATGGTGACAATACTGTGTGTTCTCTCTACATGCATTAAGTTTTCAAAAACTTAATAGGTCTGGTGTTTAGAAATTCATTATTACTTTCTTATAAGCTACATAAGTAGCATACATGTATATTTCTCCATCTGTTTTGAACTGTTAACCTAGAACTAGTAGTTACCTCCCTTGTACGATATGTTTCTAATATTACCCAGGATGCTGGAGGCGTACCGGAGAAAAAATACAAAGATTTCCTTGACATTCTACTGATGGCTCGAGATGAGAACGGAAAGGGACTCACTAGGGAGGAGATCCGAAATGAGGTCGACACATTCCTGTTTGCAGGTGAATTTAACTGTGTATCTTACTAAGGAAAAGCAGTATTAACAAGTGCAGCAATATACAGCCTTGTCCAACTTGAATTTTCATACTGTAAGCTTACCAACTGTAAACATAAATAGTTGTATCACATTGTCATACATATATTGATGGCATGTTCACAAAATATGGTATTTTTGAGGTCACATTGGTCGTTACCAAAAAAGAACATTATGACTTCTACCGATGAACTCAATGGCCTAGATTGATGATACAATTGGCTTGTAACTTGCCAGTATGGTGTGGTGCAAACTTGTAAACGCAAATAACTTTGACCTGCTTTCAGGATCACAGTTGTCATGTTTTGTGCCTAGTAGTTTTCTGGAACTGAGGCCTAAACATTTTGCTAAATGATATGACCTTGACTAATATTTACAGTCACAGGGATCACATATGACAAAAAAAACTTTCAATAATTCCTTGTGATGAGCTGAAATTCGTTTATTCAAAATATTTGGCACTAGCTTGCTAAGATGTATAAATTGCTAAAAAAATAGGTGAATATGTTATACTTTTTGTATACATTAAAGGTCACAGTGGTCAGATTTGTTACGATTTCTCAAATGACTTATTGTTGGACACTCAGAAGGCCAAGAGTCATGATATTTTGCCAGTAACGTGCTATTTTGGAGTTTAAAAATCGCAAAGAGAAGTTATATTGATTTACTTTCAAGATCATATAGATAAGTAAAATGTGTTAAAATCTTTTAAAACATCTGTTAAGTAAGGAAGAAACATAGCTTCATGTTATTTGACCTGTAGCAAATGAATAAGTTTATTTCATTACAAGGTCACGACGCGACAGCCAGCGCCATCTCGTGGATACTATATACTTTAGCCACACACCCAGAACACCAGACCAAAGTCCAGGAGGAGATTGACCGTGTCCTTGCTGGTAGGGAGTCTGACCGGCTCGAGTGGTCAGTTCCTTTTTATAACTGCCATTTAAGACTCATACAGTTGTTATAAGAGTAGCTCTCAGTATTAGATATTGTAACGTAACATAAATTATTGTCACTGTTCACCTAACTGAAATACTGAGACTGATCACATGACTCATACTGAGACTGATCACATGACCCATAATGAGCCTGATCACATGACTCATGCTGTGACTGATCACATGACTCATACTGAGACTGATCGCATGACTCATACTGAGACTGATCACAAGACTCATACTGAGTCTGATCACATGACACCGATGGAGTCTGATCACATGACTCAAATGGAGTCTGATCACATGACTAATACTGAGACTGATCACATGACTATTATAAGACTGATCACATGACTCAAACTGAGAATGATCAAATGACTCAAAATGAGAATGATCACAAGACTCATACTGAGTCTGATCACATGACTCATATGGAGACTGATCATATGACTCATACAGAGACTGATCACATGACTCATACAGAGACTGATCGCATGACTCATAGAGACTGATCACATGACTCATAGAGACTGATCACATATGACTCAAACAGAGACTGATCGCATGACTCATTGGATCATATTATTATATTAAACATATATTTTAAAAAATCACCACATATTTTGTTACACAGAGAAAGGAGAGGTAACTTACTTATAATGAAATGTACGTTTTATAACTGTGGTGGATCCAGATGATCAGTAATTGTGTGACGTGTATGTCTCAACAACGTCTAATTGATCAATGCTTATCAAAATAGTCTCATTTTTTTCTTAAATTGTTAAACACAGTTGATAAAATTTAGCCATTGAACAGAAGGACTTATCTAAGATTGTGTTGTACGTACTAGGGATGACATGCCAAAGTTGGAGTACCTGACCATGTGTATCAATGAAGGGATGAGACTGTACACTCCTGTGCCCATTATACATCGACAGAGTACAAAAGAGTTCACCATTGACGGCAAGAAGTTCCCTCCAGGAACTTACATGTCAATTGGTGTATACTCTGTACATCACAACCCGACAGTGTGGGAAAACCCCCACCAGTTCATACCCCAGAGATTCTCCAAGGAAAACACGGCTAAGGCTGACTCGTTCTCCTTCATTCCTTTCTCAGCTGGTCCGAGGTAGTTATTCAGGATTCAGTGTATGCAATGTTAGGAAATTTACAATATCATTTATCACAATGTTTTCAGATGAATTTTCTGTGATGAAGTATGAAGGTTAACCAATTTAAGAGATTATTTTCATCTCACTGAAAAGTCAATCATAGATGATTTGATCTTATTGAAAAGTAAGTTACCATTATTTATGTCAGAAACAGGACACATGTTTAGTGTCTGATCCTTGCTTCTCCTGGCACATCACATTGCTGACAATATGATGATGATGATGATGATGATGCTTACTGTTTTACTTCCAAAAAATGCATAACAATCACTTTTAATTTCCTGCATTAATCCTTTTTCTTTTCAGAAACTGTATTGGCCAGACTTTTGCAATGAATGAGGAGAAGGTGACTATTGCTAGGATACTGCACAAGTAAGTAGTATTACCCACAAGTAAGTAGTATTACCAACAAGTAAGTAACCCGCAATTAAGTAGTATTACCCTAGTACAAGTATTACCCTGTGTAGGACAGTTTGTATTGTCACTGTCACATAAATGATTCCTCCTTTACATGATCCTATAAGTTGTCTGTCCATTTAATTTTGCTTTATTTGTATGATCAATTAAGTGTTATTGTCACCTAATTTGCTACCTGAAATTAAAGACTTCCCACCCTTCGTAATACACATGTTCAAGAAGGTTGAATATGAGGCGCATGGAATGCAGATTGATGTGTTTTGTTTACCGACCTCACCTGTGCATATCACGTGCTAATAGTAGTTCACAAGCTCTTGGTCGCTACGACTTTTGTTGTCGGGTGAGTCACGCTCTGTGAGATAAATCATTTCACAAATGCAATTACAATAACTCTGTTAAAATAGTGTTTTGTAAAATATCAAGATCCCTACATAATGCAAGTGCATGTGTGTGGATATGATAACGGAATACCATGCGATAGCCTATGGTTACATATGTACCTGACATGTAAATAAACCATGCGTAAGCGGGCTATAGAATGATGTCCAAAGTATAGATGATTGAGAGTAATTTTGTTCCATAAAAGAACAGCAAATTGCCAATTTAATATAGTATTATTTTTTTTTAAACTTTAATGTCGTTTTTTGGTATAGTAAAGAAAAAAACTGTCCTTGTATAAATTCTATCCCTCTGCAAAAAGTTCTGATTTTTTTCAAGGTAGACAACTCTCATCAGGATCAAAATTACTGTAAAATGTACAATTTGAACAATGCCACACACTAAAAATGTGAAAGTGTTAAAATGTGACAAAAATTCAATTTTTCTGTATTTAAAAAAAAAAATCCCCAGTTTATCGGAATGCTTAGATTTTCATAAAATCATCTCTACATAGTGACATAACCATTATGTGAAACTTTCATTGAATTCTGGTGGCTAATTGTGAAAGGGTGGAGCCTCCTTAAAATTGCTCCTCCATTGGTACCTGTAGGTCATTAAAATTGTCTCCCCATTGTTAGATAAGTAAAATTGTCTACTCCAATACTAAGATCATTAAAGTTGTCTCCCTTTACTAAGATAATTAAAGTTGTCTCCTCTTTGGTGTAAGCATTAATACTGTCTCCCAGATTTTGATATAATCGTTGAAGTTGTCTGCTCCTTTACTAAATCATTAAATTAAAATTGCTATAGTGTAAAATTATGAAAGATGTCTCCTACTTTGATACGATCCCTATTAAAATTTTCCCCCTTTGCTAGATCATGGAAGTTGTATGCTCATTTGCTAAGATCATTAAATTCTGTCCTTTTTTCCAATAGGTATACACTAGAAGCTGATCCCAAGGTGGAAGTGAAGCTGAAGGCTGCAGCAGTGATGAGATCATTAAATGGTGTCTACCTCTTCAACAAACCTCGACACTGATTGTACCAATGCTTGAATATAAATTGATCAAGACCATGCTAATGATTTAAAGCGATACTAAATGTGCTATAAGAAACTCTGTCACGTGACAGAACAAGCTTTGTCATGTGACCTGAGAAACTCTGTCACGTGACAGAACAAGCTTTGTCATGAGACCTGAGAAACTCTGTCACGTGACAGAGCAAGCTTTGTCATGTGACCTGAGAAACTCTGTCAAGTGACAGAACAAGCTTTGTCATGTGACCTGAGAAACTCTGTCACGTGACAGAACAAGCTTTTTCATGTGACCTGAGAAACTATGTCATGTAACAACAAAAACCAGAATTCAGTTAGATTTAAACCATTAACCATGATATATGTTACAATCATTTATTGTATAATCTGATTACCCTTATCCAAGTTTTATTGGGACCTATGTCACACTTGTTGTCTCAAGTGACCTATTGCAATCGCCTTTTGTCCAGTGTCGTGCGTTGTCCGTCTGTAAACAATTTACATTTTCGACTGAAAGTTAGGGTCAACGCCTATGGAGATTTAACATTAGCATCGGCCCCTGCTTGGAATTTCAAAACAAGATAAATCCAAAAAGGTATGGGTATAGTAAGCTTAAATCAGGAACAGTTAGTTTCAGAACCCATTTTATGATAAATGGGACCTCATTGACTTACACCTGTGTGGGTGTTAAAGGTGTGGTAATACAATTCTTCCTAGAGCATTTAAATGACATAATTACTACAAAACTATATCATCATCGTGTGCAACATATTCCAACTGTTATTTTGATACCAAACATAACATTATTTCAAGAAAGAATTGTTCATTTTATTGAAGATTAAAACAGAAAAGTATGCTAAACTTTATTACTAATGAGAAAATTTCCATTTTTGACACGTTAATTTAAATAGTTCTAAAACTAGTCTATTTTTCATACTTGATTAAAAGTTGGCTACCAATAATATCTTTCAACATCAGGAATTTAGAAAAAATAACAACTGGTAAATTTGTCATTATAACACTATTGATTCAAAAAAAGAAAGACGGAGCTTTCTTTCCACTTTTTCTTTAACTTGTGTTTCTTCATGACCAAAAGTCCTTGGGTCTTTCTTTTGGCAAGTAGGTTGTTCATGTGCATGGATTTAAGTTTTGTAAACGTTGATGACCTTGACCTTCGTTCAAGGTCACAAAAATCAAATATGCATAAAACATTTTTGTATGGGAAGTCAGACAAGGATATCTTTCCTTGCTTTATTTGTTTAGTTAACGATATAAATGAATATAATACTCCTTCATATTTTGTTTAATCAATGGCAATAAGCAAAACAATAACAATAATAACTAGAACTGTAAGCCAAAGACTAACTAATATCCCCTCTCCTATATAAACCAGAACTGTAAGCTTAAGGCTAACTAAGGCAAAGCATTGCAAAGCAACCCATACTCTCCCAACAGTAATTATTTAAGTATATATGTCACTGACATACTTCCTGTACTCCCTCTCTATGCCAAAACATACTTCCTTTAAAATTTCAAAATTCTTCTTCTAATGATCCAGATACATGGTAGAATCAAATACTCTTCATAGATGGAAGGGTCTTAAGGTGCTTTACCAAAATTCAGCTGACTGACAGAACCACTATTTGTACATACAATGTAGTACAGGTACAACCTAGATCTTTCACACTACTTTTGCATTACATATAATTCAAGTTACTTTTGTTACAGAATGATTTCTTTTTCATTTGGCAACATCGATAACATCAGATTTTACATAACTCAGGTGACCGTTAAGGCCCATGGGCCTCTTGTTGTAATTTATGGTCTAATTATGTAATACATGTACACAGATTTCCTGATGACATGCAGTAAAAGTACAAATAAGGGTTCATTGTGTATGTACCTCAAACCGTACAGATAATGGCTCAGTGTAAGTACCTTAGTACAAATAAGGCTTCCTTGTGTATGTAACTAAAACAGTACAGATACTGGCTCAATGTAAGTACCTTAGTACAAATAAGGGTTCCTTGTGTATGTACCTATAACAATACAGATACTGACTCAATGTAAGTACCTTAGTACAAATAAGGGTTTATTGTGTATGTACCTAAAACAAGTACAGATACTGACTCAATGTAAGTACCTTAGTACCAATAAGGGTTCATTGTGTATGTAACTATACAGTACGGATACTGGCTCAATGTAAGTACCTCAGTACAAATAAGGGTGCATTGAGTATGTACCTGAATAATACAGATACTGGCTCAATGTAAGTACCTTAGGTCAAATAAGGGTTCCTTGTGTATGTACCTAAAACAGTACATATACTGACTCAATGTAAGTACCTTAGTACAAATAAGGGTTCCTTGTGTATGTACCTAAAACAGGACAGATACTGGCTCAATGTAAGTACCTTAGTACAAATAAGGGTTCCTTGTGTATGTACCTAAAACAATACATATACTGGCTCAATGTAAGTACCTTAGTACAAATAAGGATTTATTGTGTATGTACCAAAAAACAGGACAGATACTGACCCAATGTAAGTACCTTAGTGCAAATAAGGGTTCCTTGTGTTTGTACCTAAAACAGTACAGATACTGACTCAATGTAAGTACCTTAGTACAAATAAGGGTTCATTGTGTATGTACCTAAAACAGGACAGATACTGACCCAATGTAAGTACCTTAGTGCAAATAAGGGTTCATTGTGTATGTACCTAAAACAGGACAGATATTGACCCAATGTAAGTACCTTAGTACAAATAAGGGTTCCTTGTGTATGTACCTATAACAGTACAGATACTGACACAATGTAAGTACCTTAGTACAAATAAGGGTTCCTTGTGTATGTACCTTAAACAGTACAGATGCTGGCTCAATGTAAGTACCTTAGTACAAATAAGGGTTCCTTGTGTATGTACCTAAAACAATACAGATAGTGGCTCAATGTAAGTACCTTAGTACAAATAAGGGTTCATTGTGTATGTACCTAAAACAGGACAGATACTGACTCAATGTAAGTACCTTAGTACAAATAAGG